TGTCTTGCTTCGACTTGCTTAATTTTGATTGGCTGTCAAATCCATTCAAAAGAAACAACTTCTGACACTTTCACATAAGTGGGAGAGTACAAACATAAAAAGCTCACTGCAATTTACCTTATTATTTCTCTTGTCTCCACTCTTTTCCTTTTCCAAATTCTTGGTACAGTCGACCTTCCCATTTACGAACTTCTCATTTATGAACCTTCTATTTTATGAACGTTTGGCCGATGATATCATCGCTAGATTTATCTAATTTTTGCTATTTTTATTTATTTTAAGAAAAACGAATTACAAAGGTCATTAAAAAATGTGTTATAGTACTAGTTATACAGTACTGTACATTCCATAAATACATCATACTACTTTAGGCTTAGAAAAGTCAAACCAATACATGATGTAAAATAATCAAAACTAGCCGAAATGCAGGCAGGCAGTGCATGCTGCTAGGCCTACCTTGTCTAGGCTAAGGGCAAGGCTGGGCAGCCTATACCAGGGGGGCCTACCCTACTCTGTCTTACGCTTACCGGTCTAAATGCACTGTAAATCGAATCAGCTAGTCTGAGTATAAATGTCTGGTAACATCAACCTTTTATCCTTTTAAGAATAAATCACTTTTCGGATATTCAATAAGCATCTGTATTATTTGTTTTTCACTGCCAAAAAATGATTAGCAAGCTGCTCTATTTTTAGAAGATGACATCAGCAATTACCCATCATTCAACGCTACAGGTACTAAAACCACATGTTTGGAAGTCAGGAAGGTCGAAAAAAAATAGGAACAGTTTCTTTTTTTAAATTATACAAAAATACCTTGACTAAATTAAATATATAAATAAAAAAGTTAGCAGAGAGCTGCTGCTAGGCCCAGCTAAACCTTGGCTAAACCACAACTGTATGTTGAATAGTCAGCCTATATAGTGACATGGAAGATTACCGTAGGTCGGTTTATCCATGGATCGATTTCCTTAGCCTATTATGAATCGATATTTAATATATTAGTTTGTCTTGCATTAACATTTAATTGATTCTTCAACGATTTCTATAATATTCTTTGATCACTTTAATGCAAAATTAAGCCTAGATGTTGGTAGGCAGGCCTAGTTGTATGCTACAACTTGGCATTTTTAAACTTGAGGGCACTATTCTTACGAACTTCTCATTCACAAATTTTCTCAATTACGAACTGCTTTCAGCCCAAGGTGTACATAAATGGGAAGGTCGACTGTAGTTTCATTCTGTGACAACATTGTAGTCTCCCATCCCGATTTTCCATCTCATAATACCCTGATCTGTCATCCCCATTAGCCAATCCATATCATCCCATCATTCTGGTGTCAGCTTCATCTCATTCTATTATTACTGGATGCTGAAAACATCCGATTCTCTTAACAATGACTTGGAACAGTAAAATGTACAGATGAAGCAAATAGAGTGGAATATATAAGAATATGTTGGGCGAGAAAACTACATAAATAGGTAGGAGAAAGACCACTGATACAGTTGTGGACAAATATAATTATTTTGAACATAATTCTGCAATTAACCAGCAGCCAATGTAGTTCTTTTTTTTTTGTCAAGCAATCTGCGTATCCTCCATAGATTACGCAAGTGATACCTTATAAATACTGCTGCAGACCTTGTTAACCTGGGAACTCAATTTCAAGTCAAGAGTAACCCCCAAGTTGCATACACTTTTGGAGGCAGTTATGATGGCACCATTAACACTGAGTTTGATATTCCTAACTAGTGGTGATGACTGTTGATATCTAGAAGTGCAGACAAGAAGTTTGAAGCTTGATGTCCATAAGTTTTTGGTTTTTTTTTGCTGAGAATAGACAGTTTATGTTTAAGTTTAACATTCTTTCAGACTGAGACATTGCATGCATATTTGACAGTTACTGTCATTCTTGTGCTCTAACTTGTTGACATGCGAGACTTCATTCTGATTAATAACATTGGTGATGACAGGAAGTTAACTAATTGAGCTGATCTCTACAGGGACAGGGTCCTATAGAAAGAGGAAGATGAGAAATGATAAAAATCCTTGTACTGCTGTATCTTTATACAGCTAAATTATAATGTTAAAATTAGCAGTTCCATGCAATTCCATTATGCTGCTGTATTTTCCTATATTTATTCCCTTAGAAATCCTGTTGAAAATGAAAACATCCTGAATTCTTCATTCTGTGATTAGTTCCAGTCTTATTATCACTCATTTTCTAATTTGTAGTTATACTGTAGCAGCCCTTCACTGTCATTCTTCCTTAAGTTTACATCTACCGTACCCAAGGGATTTTAAATGATCATTAGGAATATCCCTTGTGTTTATGAAACATCTTTATATGTACACTACTTCAAAAATTTAAGTCTATCCATCAAGTTTTTGAAATACTTAATGAATAATTATTAGCCTTGGTGTATTGGTAGTTAAGGTACAGTACATGTATAGGGGAAAAATAATCTGAGTCATAATCATTTGTGATAGATAAATAAAAAGGCTTTAGATGATGGTTCAAGAAATTAGAGATTAGTACAATTCATATTAAGATGTTTATTAATAAGTAATGAAATCAGTAATTATTTAAATTTTTAACTTGTATTTAATACGACATTTAATTATACTATTTGTTGCAAAGTGTCCCATTTATATATTCAGTTGTGTCTGTTATCTGTGTAACAACATCATGTATGTCAATTGCCGATAGTGGATTAGGCAAGGGGTAGTGATGGGAAAAGCCATGACCTAGGGTGAGACGATTGGCGACGCAAAATTTGGAAGGGTGCACAAGAAATGTCTACAGCTCTTCCTTCGTTTGATCAGTGAGAAAAACAAGAGGGTAGAATGAATTGCCAAGGGAAAACTGGGATCCTTATTATAGCGTCTTAATTTCTTATCTATCATCATGTCCGCTTTTTATTAGCAAACAGAGTTAATCAATACACTCAATTACATGGGATTCTAAATTTCAAAAAGGGTTACATTTATTGTTTAATATTTAATTTAAAAATAATAAAAATATTAAAAAGTCAGAAAAAAGAATTACGTAATTTGCAAACTGCACTATGAAAATAAGGATCTACTTTGGTACAGTAAATCTGAAATGGTGCTATAGTCATCAGAGACTTTTACTTATGCCATTTTAAGTAGGGAGGTAATACAAGTAATAATGATTTACCGTTGGTGTTCTATGTTATTGTAGTAATTATTCAACATTTTTTTAATGGAAATATAAAGAAAATTTAATATATTCAAATTTTAAGTCTAAGAGTGCAATTTCCATCTAGAGGTGCCCTAATCACAAATTTTCTTACCTCCGCCCCAACCAAGGTGGGGGCTGAGGTAGTATAGTTCCACCATTTGTGAAAGTACAGTGTACCTCCCCAGGCCCCTTCTATTTCGAATTCCTGGATCTGCCATTGTACACTTCCATGTTCTAGCTGAATCAATTTCACTTCCAAGGTAACTTCCGTTACAACTGAATCAGATCCACTACCAGTACCTTTCCTTATAGCGCTAAATCATTTGACCTACCTGTATATATCATACATCAATCATGTTTGTATTGTATACATTTCTGAATATTTATGATGGTTTAATCATAATTTATTGAGTCATCTGCTTTAGCAGATAATCAAGATAATAATAATAAAAATGAAGTACAGTTTCACATATCTGCTAATAAACTTTCCACATGGTACATTCTTAGTAAAATTCTTCAGGTGTCTGCTATTTTATGTATACATGTATTTTGATGGTAATTTAAACTAAATTAATTTCACCTTCTATTATTGTATTTAATTTGAATTCAAAAATGGTTTATTCAAAACCATACTGGCAGAAAAAAAAGCTGGACAATTTTTTACAGTTAAAGTCAAAACAGTAAAAGCATTAATCCAAATCACAACAAAGGTCATAGCAAGAATATAAGAAAACATTTTAAACTATTTTATTTTATCTATCGCTTTTACCTGAAAAACTTTATTTCTATATGGTTGTACATTTATACATGGCCTGTACTATAGTATTTTGCTAATTTTAATGTATGTTAGATTATTTCAGTCACAATAATATCAAATTATCTTCTGAATTTAACCTCAGAGAATATGAGAGTAAAGTTGAAATAATTTTTGTAAAGCATCTTGATATCCCTCCCCCC